TTTAGGTCACTTTAGGTGGATTAAAGGAGGGTAGAATAGGTAGTTTAGGATATTTGGGATTCTAGGGCTTTAATTTTGAATTGGTTGACCAATGAAAAGGAGACTAGTGGCAAGCGTGTGCTGATCAATGAGAGGCATGTGAGGGCGTATGGCAAGCATGTGTTTTGGAACGTTGGCGCCTTATGTGGCGCCAACGTGGATGCTCGCGTGGCGCTTACGTGGAAGAAGGAGTGTAAGACTGGGCTTCTTCTTGGGGCAGAGTTGGGTTACATTCTGGAGTTGAATTTTGTTTAGGTCTTTTCTTTTCTTCTTTTAAAGTTTTTGGGCTTCTAAATTAATAACCAATATTATAAGATGACAATTGCTAGTTTATGAAATAAAAATATATTATGACTTTATACTAATATAAGATATGAATACTAAACAAGAACTTATAATTGATTTAATAAAATGCAAAACTTGAAGATAAGGTGAAAACAATCGATTAATAAAAAAAAAAGAGTATAATAAGTGATAATAGTAATTTCGATAATAAAACATATAATTTAGAAGATAAATAGTCGTAGTAGTAAAAGTAGTTGTGAAAAGGATAATTTTATACGTTATCAAATTTAAAAGCTCGAAAACAATAAATCAGAAGAAAGGAGGGTCAAAATTGGGTGTCAACAGCTTGTCCCTCTTTGACCAGAGACGATGTAAGAGTTTCTGGGCAAAGAAGTTGACTTAGAAACCAATTTTGTCCCGACCAACAAGTGCATCAAAGTTTTCCCCAGTATGAATTATGGTGTCATCGCGTACTGAGATTGAGGAGAGTATTTGAGAGCGAAGTTCGAGGTAGACCTTTGACCTTTGTTGGTGAGTTTGACTCTCCAACAAATTGCTCCAGTTCGCTGCTTAGAAATAGTTCCACGTTGTGCTAAAGCTCCTGCAGAACTCAAACTTGACGAAACAGTTAAATAATATTAAACATAAAGCATGGTGTGATAAACACATGGGAATAACACCTCCTGGGTGTGAATTGATGAAAATGTGGCCTTGCGAGCCGAAATGATTTAATGAGATGAGATCTTGCAAGATTTATTAAAAAGGGTTTTTCAGCGATGACTAATGAAAATGAGGCCTTAACCATATAAATTAAGGATATAAGGCTTTTAGCCAAATGATTGAAAAATGAGGCTTTTT